ATAGTACACACACACATATATATATATATATATATCCACCATTTTTAGATAATGTCCTACAAAAACCCTGTCAGTTTACTGAAGGGGTATTGTACTGCAGTATTTTTTTGTTGGGGAACATCTAGAACTGTCCACTAGCATGGTGTGGAAACCTGGCTGACAGAGTCATTCCCGCTTAACAAGTTCATGGCTAATATAATATGCTATATCCCATATATTCCATGTATGGTATATTTCCCTACATTTGGGTGATTTTTAGGCCACATGTTGGTAAATATTCCATACATGGAGCATACGGGTATATGCTCATATGCTAATATGACGATGAAGCAGAAGATTTGGGGTATGCCGATTTTTTACGCGCACTATATGCGGGCTTCGATCATTTTCAATCCGTTTCTTTTTGATCCGGCCATCCCTCAGTCACAGTTTTCGAGGTCTTTATCCTCATTTTGAGGCGAAAAATTATATATTTTTCCATTTTCAGGTGTATTTTCAGATGGAAATGGAACCCAAAACCTACAACAAATTCTGCGGAATTCTGGGATTTTTGGCCTCGCAAATGCTGGTGACATGATTCCGCAAGGCATTCCCAACATTGTGTATGCTGATGTATACTGCCAATCATCACCTCTGACCTGATTGGTAAAAACTCAAATGACTATACGCCAATTACTTTTTCGAGTGACCCCCACTAACTGACATTCTAGAGAGGCATTTGGCATTCTAATTTGCATGTAATGACTCTGACATGTTCTGTAATTTGCGGACAATCATCTGGTTGGTGGTTTGGAACATTTTTTATTTTTCCATATACTGGGAATGTCATCATCCCAACTGACGAAGTCATATTTTTCAGAGGGGTAGGTATACCATCAACCAGTTATATATCCTTACCGTTGATCCACGGACTTCCCCCCAAATCTTCGGCGCACCCCTGGCAAGATCACCGGGAATCTGGATGTTCTGGAAAGTCACCATTCACCCCTGTAGTTTTTCCAGATTTCCCCATTCAACAAACAATGTTCCCACTAAAAACAAACTTGGATAAAATGGGTGAGATCATCAAAACCCGGTGTTACGATATTTTCTATAGGAAAAAATCAAGGATTTCAAAGATTCCCCCAGCACTGCCCCATTTTTTGCGGGGGGCAGCGCTAGGCCATCGACTACTACCACCGTGCTTTGACGTTGGATCGCAACGACGTCTTCAGCGCTGAGATGTTAAACTTTGCCATCACCGAGGCCCCGGATGCCACGGGGAAAAGTTATTCATGTATTGGATTTAATAATTATATTGATATTAATGGGTAATACCCTCTGGTAATTTAACATAGCTATTGAAAATGACAATTTTTTATGGGAAAATCAACGAACTAAATGGCCATTTTCCATGGCTATGTTAAATTACCAGAGGGTAATCCATTGTGTTACTGACTAAAAAATGCATTAATTACATGAACTACATTACATTACAATTAATCAGATTAAGTATTGTGGGGTTATCAATAGGTAATGGGGTTAAAATATTAGTAATGTTAGTACATATGAGCCACGTCCAAAACCTCCGTATTCATTTTTAATAAGAAGGTGGCAATAAGGACCTCGCATAAGCAAAACCCTGGTGTTCGTAAGCCCGCGTAAGCATCAGCGTAAGCCATTTCTGCGCGTAAGCTAAAACTGTGGGTGCGTAAGCAGCGCGTAAGTTGCTGCGTAAGCATTCCCTTAGTGCCTTCAGAAGAACAAGACCTTTTGAATTTTTGAACGCAGCTCATACTAGTTATTTTTGTGTATGTTTATGGGATATGATACAATAGAATCTAATGTTAGTACTAATTACTGTTTGGGGGGATAGAACGGAATATAGTGGGATATGTAATCAGCAATATGACACATAATGTTAGTAAAGCAATGTCATAACCCCCCAATATGTTGATGGGTTCATAACACCCACCAATAATGGTTTATTATTGTGTTATACTAAGATTCATGCGGCAAAACCCAGCCAAATCAACCTGCTGTTTGGGGTTTTATGGGCATTCCGGGGGATGAACCACCATTTCCTTAGCCATTGATCTATGTTCACCATGTTTCAACCATATTTCCCCCAAGCTAGATGTTTTAATTCGGGCTATTCCATATCATAGTACCTCCCAGAACAGGGGGAAAAAAACACATTTCTTCGAAGGATCCGCACCACATGACATTCTATTTGGCATATTATTCCGACCGTTTATTTGACATCTTTATCTTACTGTACATATGATTTACTTTTCTATCATATGTTCTGCAAATAGACATAATATATTAGTGTTTTTACATAATAGACATTTTATATATGTATTTGACATATTTATCTGACATAGTATATGATTGTCTTGGCCGGCATATGTTCTGACATGTCATCGATTTTTTAAAACAAAAATGCATCTTACCGGACATATTATTGATGTCTGGCATTTTATGTATGACAGTCTATTTGGCATGCTGGCATTCTATTTGGCATATTTTTTCTGACATTCTATTTGATATTCATTTGGCTCTCAGATTCTATGTTTCATGTTCTGACTTTTGATTTGCTGTTCTATTGGTCATTCTATTTGACATGCACGGCATGGCATTTTGTCTGACATTGATTCCAATGGGTCCAGCGCCGGGCGCCTGCCGGCAATCACTGACCATTTCACGGGTGACCCGTGACTTCAAATCAGGGGAGTGTCACGCATGGCTTGTGTAATAAGGCTAGGGTTATATTAGATATGTCGCAACATTCGATTATAGCAGGCCTATGGAGGTACCATGGAAAGGCTGTTGTGCTCGACGGCACATCATTTCCAGAGGGGTCAACCAAAAGGTGGAGGGATTCCCTCCAGTCTGATGGTGATGTCCTCTTGAAATCACTCTTGTCAATTACTTCACCTGTATATCCCATAGGATCCATGGTGCTGCTATAACATGGATCCCATCAATATACCCCCTTTATGTTAGCATATATACCAGCACCATGGATCCGTCATGGGTATTTTTTTTGTTTTGAAACATCTCTAATCTTCTAATCTTCCGCGCTATTTGATGGTTCCAATCCAATCTACAGCCTGAGTGTTGCCCGAGAATCAACCCTGGGCAATGGCTAATCTCTGCTGGCTGGTGGGATCTCCCATGTAAATTCGGTGCCAGGGGGTGCCCATTCTGACAGCTAAGTAGTACCCGTATGTACCCGTACCAATGAAAATTAAATGCGGTTTGATGAGTTCACCATCCTAATTATCTAATTGCTACCAGTTAGGGGGACCACGCAATTTAGTCCACTGTCCATTGTTCGTATTATGATCTAGTGATTGGGGTACCTCAATTTTGACATATATCCAGTGCATTTAATAGGAATCAACTATAGAATTAAAAGCAGGTTGATTGACTGGTTAACCATCCTAATTGGTACCACTTTATGACTTTGTCAACTGGGGCTTCACCAAAGAAAAGTCCTGGCTCCAGATCAGGCGCTTGATCGAGGTGATGTATAGCTGCCCAAGCCTCGAAGGGAAGCTCTGGAGTTTGAACCGATCAGCAGAATCGTCAAGAAATGAGGAATACGGATGGCAGATCGTGTTTTTGGAATGTCTTTGGAGGTATTCATTGGTCTGATTTATTCGAAAATTTACAGGAAAACCCCATACTTAATGGTAAAAACCATGGTTTCCTGTAGATTTTCCCTTAAACAATGAGGTAAAATAGTATTTTTTTGAAATGAAGACCTTTGGGAGGCCTGAAAAACACCGAACCGCCGTCTTCCCTGAGGCCTGCTGCTGGCAAACGAAACTTGTGCAGCGACGTGACCGGGGAAGCTGCAGAGGGGAAAAGCGGCGATGGATGACTCAGTATCCCCGAAGCTGAATGGCTGGAAAACAATCAACCCTCTGGTAAACTAACATTGGTATTGAAAATGGCCATTTATAGTGAGTTTTCATGAGTTTTCCCATTAAAAATTGTGATTTTCCATAGTTATGTAAACGTTTACCAGAGGGAAATCCAAATTTTCCAAACTCCCCAAACCATGGCCAGTGTTTTGAGGTGACATGATGTTCGATGCTAGCATGGACTCATGAAAGTTTTTCAGGGTATGAGAGTATGAGACTTTCAGGCCCTTTCAGGATCTAAAGTCTACCCTCTGGTAAACGTTTACATAACTATGGAAAATCACCATTTTTAATGGGTAAATCAACTACAGTATTTCTATGGCCATGTTCAATAGCAAACTGTTAGTTTACCAGAGGGTATATACTCACTTTGTTGCTGTTAGAATGCCATGTTTTGTTTGTTTCCTGTGGAGGCCACCAGGACGGCTCTGACCGAGGTGCCAATGCCAGCCCGAGAGGTGCCGCAATCAGTACCAACAAAGGTGGAAGGTTGTGTGTGTTAGAGCGGGAACAAAGAAAGGGACTATAAGATGCTATAAATGCTACAACTGGTGGTTTCAACCATTTTCAATCATGATCAAAGATGTTGATTAAGTTTTTTTTTTGGTCCTTCAGAATGCAAGAAAATTCGCTTATCATGTTGTGTTGATCCGGGATCTTTGAGGGTTAGTGACTTAACGATCCTAACAATTCTTACGACTTGCACCCTCAAGTTCGTAGTTGAACCGGGACTTCCCTTTTATGTATATCCCAGAATTGATGGGAACAATTTGCAGGCACCGTACTGGCAAAAGCATCGTTGACTGGATTCCAATCAATCCATTGAGTATAGTATAGACCTTAGTAACTCCCAACAAGATAGAACAAGTAAGTTTTCTCGACTATTTTAGTAGGACATCGTACATACTGGCAAAAGCATCGTTGCCTGGATTCTAATCAATCCATTGAGTATAGACTAGACTTTAGTAACTCCCAACAAGATAGAACAAGTAGGACATGGTTTCTCCGTTTTTTCCCCCCCTGCGTTGCTATATGCTATCCCTTTCCGCAGCTGATTGCGTTACATCTTTGGCCCTCCAAATGGCCATGCTGCGGTGGAGCTGGCTAGTTTGTGCCACTCTCGTGGTGGCCGAGGAAGGAAAATGGCCCACATGTTTGGAGGGAGGTGTGGCCTATACCAACCTGCTGGATGCTCCAGCTGAAGTTGGGTTCAGGGCTTTTTCTACCACCAAATCCAAACATAAGTATTGTCATGTTCTTTGTCATTTTGTCTTTTTTGGGGGCATACCCCACTTTCAGACACACCCATTTGGGGATGGAGGATTCACCATCAATATATTGGGTTCTCAAGTTTGAGACGGCATCTTCCCTGTAACTTGGATTGTTTTCCGTGAATCGAGAAACCACCATCTCACAATTTATACACCCATGGTTGGTTTTCAATGATTACAGTATTACGCTCCCAAAGAGCGTAGTCATTTTCATTCATTTTCCCTCTTTGGGATGATCCCATATCATCCCAATTATCGTTTTGCTGGTCTTTGGGGGGTTGGAACCAGCAAAGAGCAAAGGCGATTGCAGGGATGCCTCGTTCAACGCATCGTTGCTGAGGACATTTCGGACGCCTATGCGGAGCATCGCTTGGTGCAGGAGCCGAACGGAGGCTACTTGGCCAACGCCAAGGCCTGTCAGGACAGTTGCAAAGTGGCCCCGCGCTGCAAGAAGTTTACCTTCAAGACCGGATCCAATCCGCCAGGTTGGTACGTGGGGGTGGAGAGTGGAGATGGTGGGAGGGGAGGGCTCAAAGATCGTTTTTTTTGAAGGGGTTGGCTAAGGTGGGATGGGAATGCATCGTGAAATGGATCGAAACGGAGTAGCCGAATCAGCCATGGAAGGGTGGTGCCGGTTGTTGGTTTTGTCAGGAGCCATGTCAGCCAACTGGTGGGAATTTGAGCAAGGAGGGATGGTTTTTCCAGGAGGCCTTTGACCTCTCAGAAAATCCTATGTTTGCTTCAAACTTTAGGGCAGATTGTACAACAGAGCAGCTTGAACATGTTTCATCAAGTGAGCGACTTAGGGAACTTGCACCTCTCCCGATTGGTAAAGTTGGCATTGGTCCCAGCCATATTTATAGTAACATGTGTTGTTAAAATTAATTGCGTAGGCATGTTTTTGTTTGTAGTGTAGTGTAGTGAAATGTAATGTAGTTTATTTTTTATAGATTTTTATAGTCATAAGCATAGTGTGGTAATGTGTGGTATAGTATAGCAAATGAAGTGTAGTGTATTTCTAGCTATGGTTATAGTTATAGGTGTTACTGGTTATAGTGTGGCTATAATTATAGCATGGTTGCAGTTGTATCTGCAGTAAATGCTGTTGTCATTGTAATGTAATCTATTGTTGTTCCCCACCTGCCAGGTGAGGGTTGTTAGATTTTATGTCAGTTGCCTCCTCCTCCTCCTGCCGCCTCCTGCCTCGTCATGCCTCCTGCCTCCTCCTCGTCCTCCTTGTCGTCCTTGTCGTCCTTGTCGTCCTCGTCGTCCTCGTCCTCGTCGTCCTCGTCGTCCTCGTCCTCCTCGTCCTCCTCGTCCTCCTGCTCAACTGCGACTCGCGATCCACAGTGTTCGCTGCCGGACCTCAACCACGACCATCCACGCCCAGTGTTCCCTGCCGGACCTTAACCACGACCATCCACGCCCAGTGTTCCCTGCCGGACCTCAACCACGGCCATCCACGCCCAGTGGTCCCTGCCGGACCTCAACCACGGCAATCCACGCCCAGTGTTCCCTGCCGGACCTCAACCGCGAGTATCCACGCCAAGTGTTCCCTGCCGGACCTCATGAGATATGCCAGATAGAATGCCAGAAGATATGCCAGATGGAATGTCAGATAGAATGACACAAGATATGCCAGATAGAATCCCAGAAGATTTGCCAGATAATATGCCAGAAGATATGCCAGATAGAATGCCAGAAGATATGCCAACATATGCCAGAAGATATGCCAGATAGAATCCCAGAAGATTTGCCAGATAACATGCCAGAAGATATGCCAGAAGATATGCCAGATAGAATGCCAGAAGATATGCCAGAAGATATACCAGAAGATATGCCAGATAGAATGCCAGAAGATATGTCAGAATATATGCCAGAAGATATGCCAGATAGAATGCCAGAAGATATGTCAGATAGAATGCCAGAAGATATGCCAGATAGAATGCCAGAAGATTTGCCAGATAGAATGCCAGAAGATATGTCAGATAGAATGCCAGAAGATATGCCAGTAAGAAAATGTAAAAATGTCACGGTGGGGATCACACGAAGTAAAGTAATTTTTGTGTGTGTCCTGAAGCTGGTCATGCTTTCACATTTCAAGGGACAATTCTTATGAATTATTTAGCAGCTGGTCTCCATTGTCAATCGCTAATCTTTATCCCTGGGATGATGATGATGATGACGACCCCCCAATGATGTTCAATGACTTTTACATGAAACATGTGGGTTTTTGAAGCACCAACCAACCAGTTTAACGGTTTGAACCACCGTCAGTGGGGTGAACTTGACAGGTGCTTGCTTTTTGATCGATGCTACAGATGACCTCACCCACCGATATACTGAGAACGATGCTGTCAGCGGGTCGGTCTCGTGCAACTTTTCGGTGGTTTCTGCATGCTTTGCTTCAGAGGTCTTAGGATTTTCATGAGTCACGGAAATTTCTTGGATATTTGGATCATTTGGTATCTACAAAATGATGCTCCAGCCTTTTGCCGAAATGTTTAGCACCTACATTACATTGTTCCAGTTTGTTTGATAGATGGGGTATCTCATCTCTGCGATTTGACGAGCAAAAAACGGCTTCAAAGACGTGGTCCTGGGGAAATTGTCTCAAGGCTGCCCATAGAATGTGAACTTGATTCCATCCAGTTGACTCTGAACAGTTCATGTCAGGTTATCCCAAGCATGACTCCTCCAGCCGGAGCTGCAGCAAAAGAGGCTGCAGCCAAGATCTGGGAAGCAGCAGCAGGTGCGGCTTCCACAGGCATTGCCGCAGTTGACACAGCAACTTCAGCAGTCGGAACTGCAGCCGCCAAGACTGGGGAAGCAGCAGCAGATGTGGCTTCCACAGGCATTGCCGCAGTTGACACAGCAACTTCAGCAGTCGGAACTGCAGCCGCCAAGACTGGGGAAGCAGCAGCAGATGTGGCTTCCACAGGCATTGCTGCAGTTGACACAGCAACTTCAGCAGTCGGAACTGCAGCCGCCAAGACTGGGGAAGCAGCAGCGGATGTGGCTTCCACAGGCATTGCCGCAGTTGACACAGCAACTTCAGCAGTCGGAACTGCAGCCGCCAAGACTGGGGAAGCAGCAGCAGATGTGGCTTCCACAGGCATTGCGGCAGTTGACACAGCAACTTCAGCAGTCGGAACTGCAGCCTCCAAGACTGGGGAAGCAGCGACAGGTGTGGCTTCCGCAAGCGGAGAAATGCCGATTGCTACGCCCATTATCCTGCCCGCCCCTGCCAAGAGCAAGCCTGCTGATGTGGTGGATGATTCCGAGGTGGGCTGCCTTCGGAAGGGCGTGGTTCTCCAGGATACCCTTCTTCCAGTTCCAGTACAATGGACCTCTTCAGTCGCTGAGTGCCGGCAGAAATGCCAAGCCTCCAAAGGGTGTAGCCTCTTTACCTGGAAGAAGAACACCAAGCCCACCGGCGGTTGCTGGTTGTTCCCGGAGCCAGCGGCTCCCATGGCACAAATGGCAGATCCCAACGCCACCAGTGGCGCCAAGGATTGTTCTTCACGTGGAGCCGTGGGCTTGGCCCAGGGCCCAGCCAAGAGCTTCATAGCCCAAAGCCCCAGCGGGATGAACTCCAACACCCTTTGGGCCGTCTTGGGCTGTGTGGCTGTCGCTGCCGCCGTGGCTGGGGTGGCGGCCTTTGCTTCCAGCTCCTCCGAGTCGAAGAAAGGGAAGCGCGGCTTAAAAATTGCCGCGCATGATGAGGAATCCGCGACCTCCATGGCTCCATCCCCCGTGTATCCTGGATTTGCTGAGCGTGAAACTTGATGGTTTACACCACCGATTTCTGTAATTAGTTCATATAAATGTTTAATATGTTTATACTATAGTATAACTCTATAGTTTATCATGTTTCATGATTCGGCCCATCCCCAATATGAGGTCACCAGAACCCCTGGTTTTACATTGCGTCTATGCATTTTGATTTGCCCAATTACCACTCGTTCTTTTTGGAGGCTTCCTGTCAGTCCAAGGTATGCTCCTCCCTCTGCTAGGCCTCAGCCTGGACCGGGGCCCATGGCAGCGCCCACACCGGGCTTTCAACCCGTGATGTATTTTCAACAGCCGCAGCTGCATCAGGTTCAACCCGTACCCCAGGCGCATGTGTTAGTTCAAAGATGGAGTAAGACACTCTGGAGATCTCCATCTTTTAGCCGTTCTGATCAATGCAACGATGCAATGATGATGAATGAATCATGTTTTTTTCCCGAAAGGAGTTTCGACTTTGTGGCCCCCAAGAGACCAAGAACTTTCCACATCCTTGCGCCCTAAAGCTTTAAATCTTAAATGTATCCCTGAAAATCAATGGGTCCATTCATTTTGGGATCCTTTAAATTGGTGTATTTAATATGAAGGGGATGGTGTCATTACTTGACTTCACCATTGTGGCGTGCGTTTTGATTTCTCTGCTGGTCATAAATCCTCCGGCCCTGCAGGTATATTATACACAAGTGCCTCAATAGGCTTACGGGCTTGGAGAGCAGCTGAAGCCGTAGCCAGGCTCGCATTGGATGCAACGATCAATTCTAGAGGCCACAAGACTTGAAGCATCCCAGCTAGTGAATGGCTCATGGTGAACAAGAATGGCTATAGTGTTCACATGTGTTAACCTATTGACCTATTTATACATAAACATGATAATGTATTATAGTACGTATGGGGTTGAAAACCATGTATGATTCCTCGGATGCACATCCCAATGGCGGCCCTGAGGTTTATGATCCCGCTGAGTCGTTCGTATACTTCGGCCATGGCAATGGGGGTGCGGCCAATGGCGTCTTTTGTTCCCCAAATTCACCGGATGATACGTCGTAATATGCCACAGAAGAACGGGTCATTGTACAACCAGGAGGATGTTCTCCAAAAACCTGATGGTGAGAGTAATCTTATGTCCCCACTTTGGAATAAAAATAATAATGCCATTTTCATGGCTTTAGTACGGACATCCTTGTGCCAAAAACCCATGTGATCATATGAAACTTGATCCAGCACTGGTTGGCCTTGAAGATTCTATGGGAGTGGCCTATGCTGTGGTTTTCTGGATTGCTATTGCTTTCTGAGTAAACCTTGGCGGTTTCTAAGTGTAAATGGGTGGTATAGTGCAAAGTATGTAAGAATTAGATACATACATTTGCTAATAGTTAAGAACAAAAAATAGGTGGTTTGGAACCTTTTTATTTTTCCATATATTGGGAATTTCATCATCCCAACTGACGAACTCCATCATTTTTCAGAGGGGTAGCTTGAAACCACCAGAGCTGCAGGGTATCCCAAGTTAGCCACGCTTCCCAGCAACCCCTGCAGTTAGACAATGAACTCTGCACGCAGCCGAAGTGCTGTGTGCGACCGGTAAAGCACTTGCCGCCGATTTGAGCGACCTATTTGATGCTAAAAAACTCCAGGGCGATTTGATGCTGAACCACTGAACCACTGAAGACGGAGGCTTTCCCGGAAAATTTGGTAGTGTCGCAGCCAGCTGCGTTGGCTCCGACTCCACTTTGCCATTGGCTGACGCGGATTCCAATGTGAACGTGAAAAGACATGTTTGTGCTGTGATGCGGCTGTCCCCATTTGATCCCACACGGATCTATATTCAATATATTCATTACATTATATTTTGGGATGGTCTATTTCAATCTATGGTATATATATATATGGTTGAAACCCACAGGTTCCAATCAATATCCGTTTCATGAACTCACTAGCGAACCCAACAGAAACATACTTGATGGATGAAAACTGGATGCTGGCAGTGCACATCCCAGAACTGAACGGTAGATTTACTGGCAGGTTCATTGGCCCGTGTGGTGCTCGGACCTTGCTCGGAGCGTTTTTTACGCACAAGATGTCCCATAATCAGCGATGTTCTTGGGGATAAATGTTGGGAACTATTCCATGGGAGATTTTTGGATGCAGCAGTTATCCCAGCTTAAAACTTCTGCTCTATGTCCACCCAGGATTGATGAAGCATATATGACTATGGTGGTGAAGTATAGCTTCCCCATCAAATCAATGGGGGTGCATCAAATCAATGGAGGGCCTTAGTTTTTGGGATTGTGCCAGGAACCTTTGAATCAACATGAGTGGCTACTGTACTGGCTGAAGGTCATGGCAATGGCAATTAGTGCTCCCTTTTTTGACTCATGGCTGATGACGGGTGGCTTAATCAAATTTCAGCGGCCAAGACCCGAGTGATTCCCTTAAACCGCTGAACCACTGAAGCACTGGACGGCTGAAAGGATTCTGTTCGCCCAACCATTAGGTACACTCCTAGCCATTATGTAGATAATCTAGATAAACCATTGATAAACCAGCCATCTAAAGGCATCCTCCGGTACTTAGGGGGAAAAAAACATCTAGCCATTACATCACCTAATGAAACATAATGAAACCAATTTTATGGTTACCAAGGTATCCAAAATTCAGTGGTTAGATTGGTTGTTGGCTAGTTCCTTTCAGCACTGCTGAGGCGGAACCGGCCTTTATCCAAGAGCATATCGTGTTGTGTGCTCCCAGGGCCCCTGGGGGCATCCTGCGGTTGAAGCTGAAGTCAGTGGATGTTTTTTTGGGGGGTAAATCCTCGAGAAAAACAATGAAAAACCCATGGTTTTAACATTGTTTCGCCCCAAATGCATGTGGATCATATAGGGATTTCCAGCGTTGGTTTTCACTTGAACCAACTCGGGGATGAAGGTGAGGACTGCAAGCAGCCGATGTTTTGTGTGTTGGTTGCAGTCACACGAGCCGTGACAAAATGGGTCTATGATGTGGGGAAATCGATGCACATCTCCTGCTTTCAAAGCAACTATGTGTAGCCTCAAAGTGGAGAGCTCAGTCATATTGAAATGTATTGTGAATGCATGGGATTTTATGAGCATATATATATATATATATATATATTAACATCTATATAAACATCTATATAGTCATATTGAAATGTCGAGCCCCACCAACTATTAACATCTATATAAACATTATTAATGCAGCATTTTCCCTCAGGATTTCGATTGGCAGTTCACCTCGCCACTGTCCAGAGATTGATAATCTCGGATGAACATTGCTAAATTGTGGTTTACTGACATCATGTATATAACTTTCAGTTATAGTATGTTATAGTGTTTGTGTTTGATAGAAAACATACGTACTTACCCTCTGGTTATTTAACATAGACATAGCCATGGAAAATTGTTGATTTTCCCATTAAAACATCCATTTATAAGGGATTTCCATGGCTATGTTAAATAACCAGATGGTAAAAGTATCTCAAAGTAAAATAGCATTTTGGGCTTTTCATGTCAGCTGGGATGTCTCATCTCTCTGCCTCTGAGGTCGCCTCTCTCAGCCATAGTGCAGGCCAGAGTGCACTTGGTTGCACCTTTCATTGGCTGTCAGGCTACCATTACTTTCCGGTTGAATCATCATTTTGGTGGTTTGAAGTCCCCAAACAACCCAGAGTTCCTAAATTTCAGGGTCAATCTGGGGCGAGGCAACTCCACCTGGTCCAGCGGCAGATTTCGAGGATTCGGCCGGGCAGCCTGTTTGGCTGGGAATACTTGGGAATTCAACCGGGTAGACTGCCAGGTGATTGGTTGTGTTTTTGGGTGGTTTCCTTGCGGGGCAAACATATTTACGCATACCTATAGATAGAGACCTGTCTGACCATTGATTGGTCACCAAGATTTAGACATAGATAATCATCCTGACGTAGATAGAATATGATGAATATGGGATTTCCAAGGATATTCCCAGCTTAGCGTTTTTTGTTTTAATTGCCTATTCTATCTACTCCAGGATTGTATATATATCTATATATACATACATAGAGAGAGAGAGAGACAGAGAGACAGAGAGACAGAGAGACAGAGAGACACAGAGACACAGAGACAGAGAGAGAGAGAGAGACAGAGAGACAGAGAGACAGAGAGACAGAGAGACAGAGAGAGAGACCGAGAGACCGAGAGACCGAGAGACCGAGAGACCGAGAGACCGAGAGACCGAGAGACCGAGAGACCGAGAGACCGAGAGACCGAGAGAGAGAGAGAGAGAGACACAGAGAGAGAGAGAGAGAGCCAGAGAGAGGCAGAGAGAGGCAGAGAGAGGCAGAGAGAGACAGAGAGAGACAGAGAGAGACAGAGAGAGACAGAGAGAGACAGAGAGAGACAGAGAGAGAAAGAGAGAGACAGAGAGAGAGAGACAGAGAGAAACAGAGAGAGACAGAGAGAGAGAGAGAGAGAGACAGAGAGAGAGACAGAGAGAAACAGAGAGAGACAGAGAGAGACAGAGAGAGACAGAGAGAGACAGAGAGAGACAGAGAGAGACAGAGAGAGATAGAGAGAGAGAGAGACAGAGAGAGAGAGAGAGAGAGAGAAGAGAGAAGAGAGAAGAGAGAAGAGAGAAGAGAGAGAGAGAGAGGGAGACATGACCCCCATGGCCCCGTTGCAGGTAGATTTCAAATGCATGCATACCTTCGAGGGCCCAGACTTCGCGCTCATCGATTCGTTTGGCTCAGGTCATTTGGCGGCGCCTATCAGATAGGAAAAGAAATCAGAAATCATGGGATGATTTGCTGATTCTTTGGGTAGGGCTAAGCCGGGCCTGCATAATTTGATATGTATTGTTCAAAAACACATTTCCAACTTTGGAGCCAGGACATGTTGGTCACGTTTCGGGGTGGAATCCCCACATGCCAGGCAGAGCTTGGAATACGCATACGCAGGGGGGATTTTTAATCCTGACTTAAGATTCCACACGGCATGTCACGATAGCCATGGGCATTGACAGTGGCACATGCTGCTGGGGAGATTGCGTGGAACTGCCCTGGCAGATCAAGAGGAGTTGGTTGGGTTCTCGTTGTAGGGAGTGGCTACCCGTTTTACATGGGTGTCCAACATGTGAGTCTGGATATGGGGTACCATCAATAACTGAATGAGATGATGATTTCAATGGGAAAAATATGGGAACATGATTTACCCTCTGGTAAACTAACATAGCTATTGAAAATGGCCCATTTATAGATGATTTTCCCATTAAAACTTCCATTTATAAGGGATTTTCCATGGCTATGTTAAATAACCAGAGGCTAACCAGCAGATATATGGATCCCTATTTTCAGTCAAACCTGCCGGAGGACTGCAGGTCGTGGGGTGCAACAAGGGGTGCTTGGGACTTGGCAGATGGCGCTCCGGTCACGCCATCCGGAGAACCAGAGGCCGACGAATGTGGAAAAGCAGGGAATGTGGCAATTATTTCAAGTGGGGAAAGTGAGTGAATTACTGTAGATTTGTTTGTGTGTCTTGCACTCTTTTCACCTATTATTATTGTTAATAATTGGGAAAACCCATTTAGATTACCTACTTGGAATTTCATTTGGGTAAATATATGCTTGTTTTTTTGGGGGGGGACATCATAGGTACATAATTGGGATATAGTTGGGATACAACAACTTCGTCAGTTTTTTCAACATGCCAACATTTCATCACATGTGTTTTTTTTTTCACATTAACATAATCCTGGGTTTGTTTACGGTGACTTTTTATTTTCCCAATGGAATATCCACCATTTGGGGAATCTATAGTGAATATGTATTGTTTTTTTTTTTTGGCGGGACCCCTTAACCAAATCCAAGTAATATGTTCTCCATGTTTTTTCAACATGCCAACATTTCACAATTTGTTTAAAAAGACATTTACACATAGTGATGTTGTCCATGTGATGACTGGTTGGTGGTTTGGAACATTTTTTATTTTCCCATATCTTGGGAATGTCATCATCCCATTTGACGAAGTCATATTTTTCAGAGGGGTAGGTCGACCAACCACCAACCAGATTATTATGAACCATCATTAACCATTAATATTAACCATTAATATTAACCATTAATATTAACCATATACTAAATAGTATATTACCAATGGTAGGTAGGGTTCAACCACCAACCAGATGTGGAAATCGCAGGTTCTGGAGATCGTCGTGGAGCCGCGGCGCTGGCGTCGCCGTGGAGCAACACGGCGGAGGCGGCAGGCCCCGGTCAGGGAGCGTGACTTGGTGGGCTTGGGAGTCCCAACATGGCTGGGAAAATGATGGAAAATGATTGGAAAAACTGGGAAAATGATGGGAAATCCTAGGAAAATGATGGTGATCCTTTGCTCAACTAACGTAGCGACCTGGAAAATCCTGATGTTTGAAAGGTAAATCAACAGACTAAATTGCAACTTTCAATATATAATTAGCTATGTTAAATTACCAGATGGTGTTTGTAAGCATAAGATTTTGTATAGATTGATGTTTATTGTAAGTATAAGGCTTAATGTAAAGGGCTTATTGTATATAAATATAAAGCTTATTTGTGAAGCTTTCGAAGTATCTAATATGATATATTGTAAGATTTTTGGAAGTAGATAATTTATATGATTTGTATGCCTTATACTCTGCATATGAATGTATATGATTTGTTGCAAGGAATCGAGCTAATTAGGCCCACAAGTGAAAAAGTGGAAATTAGATGAAATTATTGTTAATTTAATGACTTAGCTTTTTTTAAAGTCTCGTAAAAATATTTTTGTTGTCTAGCGTACGTGTAGTGACGAGTGACATGAACGGGGGCATGAACGTGTGTGTGAACGACATGCGTGCGAGTGAACGTACGTGCGAACGTATGTATGTACGAGTGAGCGTACGTGCGAGCGAACGTGTGAGCGTACGTCCGTGCGTTTGCACGGTCACTCGCCACGCGCGCGCACACGTACGAAAATAAGGTCGACTTTTTGCACGACCCTGCCTCTTTAGTATTGATTTAGTATTGTAGCGCTTTGCACGTACAGAAATAAGGTCGACTCCAGTCGACCTTATTTTCGTACGTGCGCGCGCGCGCGGCCAGTGAACGTGCAAACGCACGCTCGTACGCGCACACGTCCGTCCACTTGTACGCACACGTCCGTTCACTCGTTCGCTCACACGTGCACTCGTCCGTCCACTCGTTCGCCTTATGTTCGTCACCACGTCCGTTAGCCACTCGTACCCCCTACGTTCACCGCGTCTCTTGGAGCTTTAAAAGCATTTTTTACGAGGCTTTAAAAAAAGCTAATTAATGACATTTCAATGGCGAGGAAGGAGGTGTTGAACCATGGGATGGAATGGGGCTGTTTCAATGAGTCCATGAATTATGGTATACTATACCGTGCGCATCTACACTACGCTATGAAATTGCCCTAAGTTGGGATTCCATGGGAACATGTTGAATCATGTTGAATCTTAAGACATGATTGGGAAGGATGAAGGATGACCCAGTTTTGAGCATGAACCATTTCTTCTTTGGAACTTTTAAGTTATGCATTGGTGCACATCCATAGTGCGAATGTGTTTGGGTCCAACTATTAATGAAGGGCTTTCATGAACATCCTGAATAGGTAGCCAGCACGAACGAGCCTTGATCAAGAATGAAGCTAAAAAAACATGTTTAATTGTGTGCTTTTCAGCACTGGCAGTCAAGAAAAGGGAAATCTGCGTTTACCCTGTTTACCCTGTTCATGTTTCTTGCACGTGTGCTAGGCCTTTGCCTGTTTGGCTTGTGTGATTTTGTGAGATTGAGTGCCCTCCACCAACAATAAAGTGACTTGCTACTAGAACAATCATGGGGATTTAACCGTCCCCAAAAACTGAACCCACCAAATAGTAAGGGTTTATTATGGGCCCACCAAGCATCAACAATAGGGAAGAATAAAACGCAGTAGCACAGTAGAGTTTTTAACCATAAACAAGGTCCAGACGTCAATAATGACCTGGACGGTTTGCTCATTAGTGAAATGAGCATTTAATCTGCACGTCGGACCCTCTTTTGTCTCCGACGTGCAGAAGGAAATGTAACTTTAGAGAGAGTTCCAACAAGAACGTGATTACGCGGCTTGTGAAAAGTGCAATACTTCTATGAAACGTGCAATAATTGCTTCTATCAAACGTGCAATACTTCTATGCAACGTGCAATACTTCTATGAAACGTGCAATACTTCTATGCAACATGCAATACTTCTATGCAACATGCGATTCCTCTATGAAGCGTCCAATACTTCTATGCAATGTGCAATACTTCTATGCAACATGCAATACTTCTATGCAACATGCGATTCCTCTATGAAGCGTCCAATACTTCTATGAAACGTGCAATACTTCTATGCAACGTGCAATACTTCTATGCAACGTGCAATACTTCTATGCAACATGCAATGCTTCTATGCAACATGCGATTTCTCTATGAAGCGTCCAATACTTCTATGAAACGTGCAATACTTCTATGCAACGTGCAATACTTCTATGCAACGTATATGCAACATGCAATACTTCTATGCAACATGCGATTTCTCTATGAAGCGTCCAATACTTCTATGAAACGTGCAATACTTCTATGCAACGTGCAATACTTCTATGCAACGTGCAATACTTCTATGAAACGTGCAGTACTTTTATGCAACGCCCACCTCGAAAAAACATTAAAATTACCCAGGTCGTAAACAATGTAACAACGTCTCCAGCATAAACAAATATCAAATTATCTTCGCAATTGTAGTGTGATATGGGATTTATGGATATTCATGGACAATTATGGCCTACTAATAGGGGTTTGTTGGGAGCTGTGGTTCCTTCAAGGCCTTTGGCCACAGCAGCTTTAGGTTGTCGTCCAGATGGCTCCTGCCTTTGCTGCACCTGTGGTTTGACTCTTGGCCGGAAACCCTGTTGAAAACGGTTGAAGATGGCTGGAGGGACTGGAAACACACATATCAAATCAGAGATTAAAACCCCTGAGAACAAGAAGATGTGTGCCATGATCTAGTTACATGATATACAGGTTATGGTCATCCATCTCATGTCCAGAATCCCTATAATTTGTGTGTAAATTCCTTTGAACAGCCTGTGAACATGAATTAGTTATTCCCATCCCCCAAGAACTGGCTTGATCCAATTCAACTTACTTGACCATGCATGTGATGCTATGAGGTATCAAATGGTATACATCCATTAATAGAGCCGTAGTAGGGACTATATATATATATATACACACCCATTCATCCAAATTGGTTCGTTTTCATGATATCCCAATGAACCTGGTATGTATATTTAAGTATATTTGCCACAAATACACATACTATTGCTATAAAATCCCCAAAAAAAACATGATATATGCCCAATATACCCTCTGGTTATTTAACATAGCCATGGTATAGATGGCCCATAGAAATAGATGGTTTACCTATTAGAAATGGTGGATCTTTCCATGGCTATGTTAGTCATAACCAGATGGTAACCAAAATTGCTCTGAAATCACCTGGTCCTTCAACTTTCACCACCGAGCTAGGCTGACCTTGGTGGTCTTCGCGGTCTTGGCGCGGCAGCTGATGAGTAAAGGCCTGGAAGACGCCACGGGGCGCCTTGGACGCTGACCGGGACATCGCTGGGAAAACTGCGAAAAGCACGGGAGAGTCATGGGAAAACCATGGGAAACTTATGGAAAACTTATGGAAACTCTGGATATGATGGAAATGAACTAGAGAAAGTCATTGAAAATCCCGGATAAAGTGCGGTTTAATGGGATAATCAACGAACTAATGGGTGATTTTCATGGATTTTCCATTGCCATGTCTGATTGCCGGAGGGTATGGACACTTATGGGGAAAACTAATTGGGAAACCATGGGAAAACTGTGGGAAATATGGAATATCGAAAAAAACTATGGAAAATGGCGGCAGACAGGATGTAGAAGCCTCCCGTATTATATGCACAGCCATGAATATAATTTGTTGATATATATATATAATTATGGGTATATATATATAATGTAATGTAATGTAACGTAATGGAATGCAATGCAATGTACTGTAATGTCATGTAATGTAATGTAAAAAATGTAACGTGACGTAACGTAACGTAACATAACGTAATGTAATGTAAAAAATGTAACGTAATGTAATGTAATGTCATGTCATGTCATGTCATGTCATGTCATGTCATGTATGTATGTATGTATGTATGTATGCATGTGTATATATGTAAATATGTATATATGTATGTGTACATATGTATATATAAAAGATTGGGGGGAAGATGTGAAGATATGGTGATAAGTGCAGATATTAACCTGTTTTTGTTGTCCATTCACAATGTCCACATGACCACCGTGCCA